GGTGAATTGAATAAGGAAAAACCTGGGTACTCATAAGAATAAAGCTGGAGGGGCCGGCAAATTGGCCCCCCCTGGCCCCCACCTGCTGGCGCCCCTGCACTCAGGATGACGAACTGACTCAAAGAGAAAATCCGATGCAATCTCATGGCTTGATTAGATTAAAAACTATTAACTTAACARAGATTTAATAACAACTGAAATGTAAAACAGACGCAGAAATGAAATTTAAACGATGAGGTTGGGTTCCAAACAGAATAAAAGTTTTTCCAAACTTCCTTGAAAAGACTTTTCTTTTAAATCATCACTATATTCTGAATATAAATCAAACTCTGACTGACCTGGTTCCAGTTGGATTGCTATACAATGTTTATTTTTAAGTTTCACATCACAACAAACTGTGATGTTTTTTTCCTCTCATTAGTTCATGGTTTTGATGGCAGGTTTATTAAAATCTGAACGTTTTATGTCCGCTCTATGCTGTGACTGAAAGGTTACAGACTGTGTAAGTAAAATAAAAACATATCCTGCTGCAGTCACGTTTATTTAAAATAATGTTTTAATGTATTTATAATTATTTCTGATTAAAGGCCCGTGAATCCACAGGATCAATGTGAAGCCTGTGGTGAGACGTGTTTCTGTAAACATCCCAGCGTGGACTCGGGGTCAAATTCCTCGCCACATTTTGCCTGCAGCTCTGTGTGTTGGCCTGGGTCTCTCAGCAGTTTGAGCTGCAGAARGAAGTGAGTTTACTGTAACGCTACATTTTCTTCTAGTTACTGACATCACCTTGATTTTGTCTTTTTGAAAACAGACTCTCAGAACTAGAAAGCTCTTTACATCTACCTGACCGTGTGTGATTTTAGCTGCTATTTTTGCTTGAAGTTAAAGAATATTCTGAGTTTCAGGATGGGGGAACGGACAAACCCGTTGGTCCACTCGGTCCCACCCCACGCTCTGACCCGGCTGGCACGAGACTGGCTTTCAGAAGACACGCCGAACTTCGACCCGGCGGGAGTGTGCGTCGGCTCAGAGGGAGTTGAGGCCAGGCTGCTGTGTAAAACTCCTCACACCGTCCTGGCAGGGAGTCCTTTCTTCACAGCTGTGTTCACTGAGGTGGGCTGCACCGTGGACTGGATCCACCAGGAAGGAGCTCAGACCGGTAGGTTTGTTCCTTATACAGTCATTAGAGCAGGGATGTCCAAAGTGTGGCCCGGGGGTCATTTGTGGCCCCTGAACTGATTTTGTG